GTAGAGAATCAAATGACTCATCGTTCAAAAAAAAAATTAGATCGAACGAATGAAAATTGGCGGAGATATTCCAGAAATACGGAGACCATCATTATTTATGGCCCACCCGTTATTACTCAAGATGCCCATGAAAAACTAGCTTATTTCATAAAAGAACATAACACGTTATTCAGGGAACTGTATCCAGGAAAGGTGAAATTTAAATTTCATTTCATGACTCATTTCCCTACTTTTATGAAAGATTTTGGACCCTTGGCCTACACATCATGCTTGGCAACAGAAAGAAAGCACCAATTTTTCAAAGGAAATAAAGTTAGAAATCTAAAACATACATCATTAATGCTGGCGAGAAGACATGAACTATGGGTGTGTGTCAAAGATCGTTGTCAAGATGGATCTCTCTCGCCCAATGCTCTTTCTGGTTTGCCATATTGTCGGCTAGATGATCGACAGTCAATTGATGACGTTCAAATACAATTTCTTATCTCAAATATATTGAAATCGCCATTTCAACCGACCTCAACCTTGAGATTATGGATCTTAGGCGGGCAAAGATATTCGCACAAGACAATCGTAAATGTTTCTAAAGAATATTTTCCATCTTTACCAACTGTGGGACAAATACGATGGATTCTTTACGATGGAAAACAATGTGCCTTTATTTGTAAAATATACAAAACCAACGGCTATATACAACAACTAAGAGCATTTCACGTTGAAGAGACTGGCAAACTTGATCGTTTTTTTGCTCGAAGATCTATGCTACAAAAAGACACTAAAGTTGGTTAATTTTAATGGATTGCTATATCTACCCTTACACCCTTACGGTAAATCATTCACTGTGGTATAGTAATTACATCCTTCATCCCTTAATTGTTCATCTATCTAATCTCAAAAATACTCTTAAAAAAATTCATCTTACCACAAGTATCTAGTACACAATGAAAGCCAGATAATTCTTCAAGCAATATTAAAAAGCAAGGATCCAATATATAATATAAACAATATTAAGAAGTAGTAATCAAATAAATAATATAAGCAATATCGTACCACCTAGAAATAACGAATGAAAGAAAAGAAAATGATAAGTTAAAGGCCAATAATAAAGATCTAAAATAAAGATATTTCACGATTTCAACACAATCATCTTCAATCGGAAAATCATTAGTAGTAATGTTGAGTGAGACGATTGAATAATGTGAAAAAGCTATGAAAAAGATTCTTCTCGCAAAAGAATGAGATCTGGTTGAGCTGAAGTAAAACAGTAATAATTGTAACTGAATAGAATTAAAATTAAGTAGTTTTCATGAATAAAAAAAGAATCATAAAATCGATTAGATCAGAATAAAAAATATTTAGATGGAAAGCGAAAGCCAATGATCAGGAGACAATCGTCATGAATAGCTGACTAGTCGGTCATCATGACCAATTAGAGGACAATGAGAGAATTACATAGCGTCAGAGGGCGCTAATATGATTTTTAAACTCAATCATCACTATGCATCCTATGTTTTTTATCATATTAAACAGGAAGAACACGTATCGTGAAAAAATGATTACTAGAGTTGATAGTTTTGTTGTAATTCCATTTTGATTAGAACATTAGAAGTAAATAGTTGATTGGTCTGAAACAGATAAAGGATGACTGTAGTAAGAAGATGATAATCAAGACACTTTAGTGTCTTAGCTGTCGAAACGTCTAAAAAGAAGACATATCTGATGTCTAAGTCAGATCATAGACAGATGTACCGTCTTGTAAGACGAAAAGCACTTTTTACAGCGCATGCAATAAATATGCCTCCATGTTGTTTTTATGTGTATTTGTAAAACACCAATTATAAATGACATTCTTGTTTTTACATGTAATTACGCAATATAAAAAAATAGAACCCGTAGAAAAATTTTATTGGATATTTTTGCAAAAAATAGTGTTATAATGATTATAGATTTCGAAATAATTTGAACCTTGAACCTGGAGATGTTTTTTGGTAGGATATTAATATAAGAAATGTCTCATGTTACCGATAGAGCAAGTAATGCTATTGTTCCTTTTGTTGTAAAGTAACATATTCTTTTATTGATTATTGAATGGGGGATAGATGGATCACGTTTAACAGATATTGATGTTTTTATTATCGATTTGTGTTTAATTAACTCAGATGAGTAAATAAAGATTGAGGACTGAACAAATCGAGATTCGACATCAATGAAAATGAACTACAGAAACGAGGCCACTTCTTCTTTATCGAACCGTGTACTACATATATTAATAATTGGTGACTACTGCTAGTATTATCGTATGTAAATGAGATACTTCCACAGAAAATATGAAATAACATGATCACTCATAGATATAATCAATGAAAACTTAATAGCTGTATCGTTGTATGCGATCTAATTCAGTATAGCATATATGCAATCGTTTCAAAGCAAGTGTGAACCTCAACTATTGATAATTGAGATCAATTAGCATTCAAAAGTGACTTTTTCCTTATGAAATTATTTTTACTTAAAGCCCAATGTAGTACTGTTCTTTCAGAAAAGGGCCAGGGAATCTGAAGGATGAGCGTTACTTGTTTTTCAGCTATAATATGTTTTAGTATATGTTCCAGGATTTACTCCTTGCTCAGTTGAGAGCAATACACCGCATTAGAAAATTCATTATTATTTTCTCACTACATCTTATACTTCCAAACTGATCATTGCTCCATAGGATCATTGTTTTACAGCATAGTTGATGTTGGAGAACCTGCTGCTTTTCTTGTATGGATTAGCGAAACTCAAGAGAAGAATGAAGGAAAAGTCCACCGTCGACATCCATCTGTATTGCAACTAGGTTTTGAACTTGTTGAAGCTCATTTGCATCGACGTTAGTAACAGTCATAATCGATTCAGAAGAGTCCTCGATGGATGAAGCAAGCGATTGGATTAAGGATCCATATTGTAATATGCGGTAGTATTTCGGAAAGTGGTGTAAGAGAACGCTGTCAACTTAGTCTGAGGTAACGGGATCTCAAAGTTATCACTATGATGATTTCTGATAGAAGAAACACTAGTGTGGGTGATATTACACTTTATTCGATTTTTTATATCATCAGTGACGCCGATTACATATTAAACAGGCATTTAAATATTCAAAGATACGAGAGAATGAAAGACAGAGAAACAACAAGGATGCTCAGGTCAAAAATTCAGGTGTAAGATCTTGCAAAACCAGTTAGGACCGTCCAAAAATCATCGTATCTGAATCTTATATTAAGTCGCACAGTCAGATTCTTGAAAGATCTTACACATTAATAAGATCTTTCAAGAATCTGACTGTGCGACTTGATATAGGATCTCAGAGACTACGATTTTTTGTCAGATTCTTGTAAGATTTCGCTCATATTCAAAGATCTTGTATGCGTTTCATAAGATCTTGTGTCAGATTTTTCGACCTGTGGAGTCATATATTACGATACAATAGAATCTTTCAAGAATCTGACGTTACGACTTGCTTTTAAATTTCAGAGATTAAGATTTTCGCCCGATTTCTTATCGGATCTTACACGATTATATAAGATCAGATGCTGAGTTTTATCAGATTGTTTGCCCTGGGCATATCGATAAGAGCAATCCGTAAGCTCAGAAGAAATGGCGCCACAATATAAGGCAAAAAATGCACTGAAATAGGATCGTTACACACCCACACCCTTAATATCTGACATTTTCGTCGTTTTTATGCCAGCAGTGTTGCTCTCGTTAATCTCATTTATTTTATTTGAAACAATAGGTCATTGCAAAAGAAATTGTAGAAGATCGCCTAAATATTTTTAGCCAGCGAATAATCAAAGCAGGAGCAGTTGAACTGATTTCATGATGTTCGATATCATCAATGCTGATACCACGAGGCTCCTTTCTATAGTGACACATGAAAATTAATCTATAAAAAGCCCCTGACATGATTATCGAGATGAAAGACAAGAGGTGTTCTAGCTTTTTTCATGAACTCTTTTACAGAATTACAAATGAGCTCCTGGAAAGTTTCAAAGTGGTTATTAAATCCCCAAAACGTAACTTTTCCTAAACGACTGATGGGAAATTATGTAAAAATTTTTCACTTTTAACGAGTGCGAGGAAAACCACAAGATACCTAGTCAAGCTATGAGATCAGAATGGAAATTATATTCCGTTAATTTCCATTAAGTTTTAGCGCAGCTCAAACGGCAACCATCCATTTAAAATATTTTTAATTCATACGAATACATGTGAGGCCTTTCGATAAGACTTGCATTTAAATGTTCATTATTTTATTACCAATTTTCAGTAAATTTTTCATATAACACGCTCCATAGTTTTTGTTCAGGAAATAACGGGTACGGCAGAATAAATGAGCCTCTCAGTATTTTTGCAATAACTCTTTACGGGAGAATCGGATTGAACTCATCTTTTTCTTAAAAGATTAGGCATTTCATGCTCTACAAAATCCATAATTTTTTATTATCGTAAGTAATTCCCATTGTTCTGATAAACACGATACAATCGGTTAGCCCAACTTGCACAACTTTCAAAAATAACCGATTCGCGAATTTTTTTACCATACGAGTTTAGTTGCTGAATCAATGTTGATTTTGACTTGACTTTGTTCCAATCGATTGCATTTGCAAGTTCGTCCCAAATTGAATAATCCAATGGGTTTAAATCAGGACTATTTGGAGGCCACCAATCTTTGTCGATAAACGATGGAAAGTTATTCCGGCACCATTGTTGAGTTAAATAATGTTGGTGTGGCTTTGCGTTATCTTGCTGAAAGATCCAATCGTTACCAAAGACTTTCTTACGATATTCTAAGGCCACTGGAAGCACCTTTTCGATATAGCAAGCATGGTCAACGGTTCCTTCATCAAAAATAACCAAGGATGTGATACCCCGAGAACAAAACGCCTAGCCACACCATTACTTTTTGTGGGAATTTTCGTTTGTGCTTAATGCCACCTCTTTTGTCGGCATCAGCGCGATCTACTGTCCACACTCTCTCGTTCTGAGAATTATAGATCCCATCGATATCAAATAATTTCTCGTCTAAGAGAATCTTTAAAGTTTTTTCCTTTCGGAAATTTGTTCGAAACCAGTTCGCAAACTGTTTTCTTTTGGTCTTCTGATCATCAGAAAGTGCTAGCTCGACTATTTTCTTATAGGGACGCAACCCTAGATCATTTTTCAATATTCACCGAACACTTCTTTTGGAGATATCAAGCTCCATCGATAGTTTTCGAGCTGATACTCATCTTTTACGGCGGCAACGATTTTTTACCTTCCGAATGTTTTCACTGGTTCTTGCTATTCGTGGACGATCGGGAGGACTTGATAATTTGATAGAGCCATATTGGCGAATCATCTGACACCATCTTTTGATAGTCGCTAAATCGACCCCACCACTTAAATCGCGGAAAATTTTCGGCGAAGTATCTCCATTTCGATACTTTGAAAGTACGATATCTTGGATGCCTGTACTTTTCATCTTGTTCAGTATGAAATGATTTTTTGATTTGAATAGAAAATACCCCATTTTGTAGAGAATCGAAAGACGAATCAAACGAAAAAAGTTCACGTGGCTTCGATGAAATTTGAGAGAGATATCATGAAAATAATGGGAGGCTCATTTATTTTGCCGCATCCGTTAATACAAGAAGTTCAATATTTTTTTTATTTAGTTTATTAAGAAGTTATTTCAAGAAAAATAGTGTAATTACACTTAAGAGAAATTGATTGGATCAGGGGATGACTGATTACGAATGGATATTCATGCAATCACATCCACTGAAACTTAATTTTAATACTGAAGCATTTTCCCTAGACTGAAAGGATAGGGTCTACAAAGCGTAATTCACCTGTGTCTGTCTGTCTGTTTATCTGTAACGATGACACCAACGACCATTTCTGTGGCACAAATGACCATTTCTATGAGACAAATGGCCGATTCTCATGGCACAACTGACCAGTTCTTCGAGACAAATGACTGATTCTGATGGTACAAACGACCATTTCCATGGCACAAACCATGGGCGGGTTCATCACATGGTCACGGGAAACAGTTGTCTCTGGATATGTGGTCAGTGGAGGCGGAGACCTGATCCCCCTACGGAACTTTTAGCTAACCATCACGATATTCCTGGACCCTGTATTTTTGTGGCTAGGTATGACTCAACCTCTTCGTCAGCTTAAGGGTCTTTAAGTCCCATTCTGTCCGTAGTTCGTCTTTACTTTTAGTGCTTTTACTTGAAACCTTTAATTTTTGTCTAATTCTTACTTCAGTTCAACTGATTCCCACCCCCTTTACAGGTCTGCTTAAAAATATCACCACCAGCTGCTGGCACCAACAGCCGATTTCTGTCCTGTTCATGCATTTATTCTCCTCAGCACTGTCAGTCTAGGGCCCAGTGAATTGACTTTCGATGTCGACGAACGTTACTTGTATTAATTTACTGGAAATTTGTATATAATATTTAAAAATTTTTACTGAACATTTAATTTGTCCCCTTTCGATAATGAGCTATTTTTGACAAATTAGTTAAATTACTTTTCTCAAGATCTATCCCACCACTTTAATGAGAAATATTTCTCATTCATTTTATTGAGTTTAAAACAGAAAAAACTATTTGACTAATACATTTTCAATATGAGACAATCGAACTCAAGTTTTTTTTCAAATTAGCTGCATTTCAGTCAAGATTTTGGTACCAATTATTATACGAAGAAAAAACATGCATTATTTAGTGCATTGAGCACAACATGGTTGAGTGGCTATGTGCTCGCCACATAATCACTAGTTACTGAGTTCAAACCTCGGTATCATCAACCATGTATTGACTTTGGACAAGTCACCCATGCGCAATTTTCTCGGATATCTCTAATTTGTTAAAATATTTAAAAGTAAAAATGTTAAATATATATGAAAATCACACCACGACCTCTCCCCTGGAGATCTACTGCTGGCCGCCAGTCCGGACTCAAAAATGGAGCGTTGAACAGAACGGAGTGCAGTTGTCACTGTTCAGCAAAATAAAAAGACGATAGAAGCCAACGATGAGTTTAGTTAGCAGAGAACTATACCGGCTCGAACGTCGCCCGGGTCAACAAGATCCACGTCCTCTGTCGAGTAACCAAGGCAGATTCGAAAAATTGGCTATTGAACAACAAGGAAGGACGAGTGAAGAGAGAAAGAATATAGAGAAATTAAAGCCAGCCAATAACATCCTGGCAGTTGGAACGTGGAACGTTCAAAAATTATGGGCAACTGGAAAACTGGAGCTACTCAGACATGAGATGAAAAGGTTCAGGTACCACCATATCATAGGTATTTCAGAAGTACGATGGGCACGTAAAGGCGAAACATCAAATGGAGACTTCATCTGGCCAGGAGACGACAACACACACGTAAGAGGCGTAGGAATGCTGCTGAGTATGAAAGCCAGAAAGGCACTCATAGGATACAACCCAGTAAACTCGCGAACTATCACAGCTAGATTTAACGCAGCACTATTCAAAATAACAGTACTACGTGCATATGCACCAACCTCAGTCTGCTCAGATGAGTACATAAAGGCGTTCTACAATATTCTCGAGAACACGTTAGATAAAATACACAGAAAAGATATACTCATCATAACAGGCGACTGAAATGCAAAATTGAGTAGCGAAAATGCAGGCTGGAAAAAAGTAATGGGAAGGTACGGGTACAGTGATAGAAAGGAAAGAGGTGAGCGTCTGTTAGAATTCGCAACCACACACGACTTGTATATATGAAATACAAAATTTGGGCAGAAGCCACAGCAAAAATGGAATTGGGCATCACCAGATGGTGTGCACAAAAATATAATCGACCTAGTTCTTATCCAACAAAGATGGAAGTCGTCGGTCATCAACTGTAGAACATTCCGAAGTGCAGACCTCTGCTCAGACCACTCACTGGTTCTATTTAATATAAAACTAAGGCTCAAAAGATGTATAACAAGCCACATCTAAATGCGACAATTGATGTGACCCAACTGAAAGATGGTATCATAAGAAAATGCTATAGCAACAAACTAGTCGGAAAAATAGAAAGAATCCAACCTACTGACAATCTAAGTGAACATGCGAGAAAAATATAAGGTGCTATCAAAGAAGCAGCAAGCACAGAAATACCCGCTAAAAGAATAGTCAAGCAGCCTTGGATATCTGAGGAAACACTAAAAACAGCGGAAGAGAAACGAAAATTGAAACAGGCTAAAAACGATTCTAATGTAAAAATGCAAGAATACAAACCCAGGTCGAGCAATCCGACAGTAGGCACCTATCGGAACCGACTGGAATCCAATACGATTTTATCGGATCCTGTCAGATCTTACAGAATTATCGTTGGATTCCGGGTCGAGGAATCGATGTCGGATCCTAAGTATCCGATTCCTATGAATTCCAGCGAAAAACCGTTGGATGTCATCGAAGGTTCATAGGATTGCGACACTGAGGATCCGACATCAATTCCTCGACCCGGAATCCAATAGAATTGTATCGGATTGTAGGATATTTCCAGGTTCCTATCGGATCAGTCGACCTGGGAAGATCTATGCAAAAAGATCAAAAAGGCAGCACGAAAGGATAAAGAAAACTGGATACAAAAGCAGTGTGAAGAAGTTGAAAAGGGCCTAAAGATTCGTAATACTAGGCAAGCATGTAGGCTAATAAAAATGCTAAGAAGAAAGTTCACACCCAGAATAAATGTAGTACCAGATCAAGACGGTAAAATGCTAGTCACAGGACGAAATAATCAAAAACTTGGACGACGTACTGTGCCAGTCTATACAACGATCACGAGGATGGAGATAACTTAGTAAGAAACTTGAATAACATTACACCTACGAACACCTAGGAGCCACAAGAAATCCTATACTCCGAAGTAGAAGAAGCGATACGCTCACTGAAAAAGAACAAAATTGCAGGACCAGACGGAATCACAGCAGAAATGCTAGAAGCAGGAGGAGAACAGCTAGAACGTTAAATCCATAAGTTATGCAATAAAGCATGGCAGGAGGGTGCTATTCCTGACGAATGGAGCAAATCCATCCTAGTACCAATATCGAAGAAGGGAGATCTAAGCGAATGTGCAAACTACAGGACGATCTCTCTGATAAATCACACGGGTAAAGTACTGCTAGCCGTGCTACTCAACAGGTTAAAGCAACAACTAGAACCCTACCTCTCCGAAGAACAAGCAGGATTCAGAAAAGATAGAAACACAATACACCAAATCCTGAGACTTACACTGTAAAAAAAAAGGTTTTCCACAGAACGAAAAAAAGGATCTGAGCGTGGGCACACGGTCAGATCCTTTTTAGGTTTCGTAGAAAAAAGGTTCCCTATGGAGCTTCTTCTTGGTAAATGGAAAAAATGGTTTCGTACATATGGTTCAGTACGAAACCTCTGCGATATTCTGCTCAAAAGGTTTCGTACACATGGTTTCGTATTAAACTTTCCGAATCATTTTCATCCGATGAGGGAGCCCTTGGAAGTGATGCACGGTTTTCGAGTTGAGCTGCCGTACATATGGTCGATTTCAGTGAGATAAGGAAAACCCCTGAAGGATGCCTTTCGTTAGTTCTTCCTTCGAAAGTTATCCTTATGTTATCAGAATTTCAATGAAAATTCCAAGGAGGCAACCTTTGTAGCTGTCGAATTAGTTTTGAGTTTGAGCCGAATTTGTCAGATAGATCTTATTGAAATATAAAAGGCTCCAAATGAACGATGGCTCATAAGTCTTCTATAGAAAGTTGCAGACATTTTCTTGAATTTTAACCTAGTGTCGCAGATATCAGTGAATTGAATGAGACTATTTCTATTTGAGGTTTCATGAAGAGAAGAATTGGTTTATCAGGGAAGTGTCCCAAAAGGTTTATTTCACAAGAATGAATATTTCCTAGGGATAATAAAGTTCATGGAAAATACCACATTTTATCATCTTTTTTAGGCACTAGTGGTACTGTTGAACTTTGAAAACTCTGGAAAAGAGGTGTGCTTTGAAAAAAACCTTTGGAACATTTCCCTGATAATTCAATTACTCTTTTCATCAAATGTCAAATAGAAATAGTCTCATTCAATTCACTGATATCAGCCACACTATAGGTTAAAATTCAAGAAAATGTCTGCAACTTTCTATAGAAGACTTATGAGCCATCGTTCATTTGGAACTTTTTGTATTTCAAATTTCAATAAGATCTATCTGACAAACTCGGCTCAAACTCAAAACTAATTCGACAACTACAAAGGTTTCCTCCTTGGAATTTTCATTGAAATTCTGATAACATAAGGATAACTTTCGAAGGAAGAAGTAACGAAAGGCATCCTTCAGGGGCTTTCCTTATCTCACTGAAATCGATCATATGTACGGCAGCTCAACTCGAAAGCCATGCATCACTTCCAAGGGGTCCCTCTTTAGATACGAAAGAAAAAATATTGTTTACTTCGAACCCCTGAATAAGTTTT